AAAGGTCCAAGACGTCCATCCATAAAGCCGTGACGACAAAAGAAAAACAAAGAAAATTCAATACCGCAAGTCACCTCATCAAGACGTGTAGTGTTCACAGTCTTGTGGGTGAAAACAAATGGAGATGAGGGAGATTAGCCGTCCTCATCCGAGGGCTCGGCAGAGTCCCCCGAGCTTCCATCGGCGCTGGCATTGACCTTTGTTTTCTTAGAAGAGTTCATACCATCGCCGTGGACTTCACTTGACTTGCGCTTCTGCCCACCACCATTCTCAGTTGGCAATGGCTTGCTGAGATCCTCGAAAGTAACAGGCTGGCCCGTTACCTCTTCTCGTTTCTCCATAGCGGCCACTTCATCTGCAGTTAGGAACCGCCCACCGGGTCCACGCGGTCTTCGCATGGCGTGGTTGTGTCGTGACTCGTGCAGATATGGCTTGCGACCCTTTGATGTCAAACGCAGCTGCTCCTCGAGCTTCTGTCGCGCTACGCGACGCTTCAGGATTCTGTGGAACTGCTTGGCATTCACGTACAGGGGCGACTCTTCTTGGTTGCTGCCAGGTACCATGTCGGGTGAGGGCTGGTTCTGTTGTACGGGAGCCTGGGGAAGTGGAGCAGCGATGGGGGCCCGGCCGACGTGGCTCATGACGGGTTGTGCGGACTGGACGTTGGGGCTACCGACATGGCTCATGCGACGTTGAGAGAGTTGCTGATTTGGCGGCATCTGAACCTGCGATCCCATAGGAGGCATCTGATTTTGCATCTGCGGTGGGGATCTGGGGTCGCGGTCCTGCTTCATTTGCATGCTCGCCATGCGCGGTGAGGCTCGGGAACCCTGGGGCATCTGACCGGCCATGGAGTCCTGGTGAAGTGGGTAGAATTGCCCAGATGCAGCTGCAGTGGCCATCGCGGCAGCCTGCGTCGCGGAGATGCCGTAGCCCTGAGCCATGGGCCCGGGGACACCATAGCCTTGGGGAAAGTTCATTTGTTGGTGGACACCCCCGGGGCCATTCTGTGCTTGTTGATAATGAGGTTGCGACGGAACGATAGGAGAGGTTTGGTGGGTGGCGTGAGGTTGGATGGGCGCCTGGGCATTGGTGGGCGAGGCCATCGACCCAACGGGGGCACCGGCGTTTGGTGGCCCGGTTTGATAAGTACCGGAGATGTGAGATGGAGCATGTGGATGTTGCCCATGGGCTTGTTGATATTGAGGAGGGTACTCCATACTGGCGAGTTGTGATAGTGGATCTTGTCACACTATAGGGTGCGCCGATTCGATAGATCGATCTGAAGTGACCTTAAAATAAATTAAGATCACCAATCAGACCCAAAGGATTTGGGACGGGAGGTCGAAATCTGTCAAAGTTGACGACGACGTCTGTTTGGTAGATGTAAAGCGAGATCGCAGAGGGCGCGCAATGAGGGACAGAGTCACCACAAGTACTAGGGTAGACGACCGATGATTCGACGGATAGTCTGCAGGCTCGGGGATTCGCGTCAGCAAAGCGCATCGCCGAGCGGTCACTGGATTGGTGGGTGGGGGGTATGGGGAATCAAAATAACACAACAGGGACCAGGCACGTACCTTAAATCGTTGGCGCGTGTGAGCCAATATTGTGTTTCGTCAATAGAAACTCTCAACTTCTGAGAATAATCTTGAATGGCTTGCGGAGGGTTTTGGCTCTTTTGTGCAAAATTAATTGCGCCCACAGTCGGGTGTAACGTGGTTGGGCTGTGATGCAGCGCCGGGGGGGTACCTCTAGATGTCGGCTTGATGCGTTGTCAAGTCAAAACAGACCTGATGATAGTGTGGGAGGCTACGCAGTGTATATCAAGCACGGTCGGTAGGCTACCTCAGGCAATTCCCAAGGGACTTGCTCTGCCACGTCCAGCGTAGAATCCAGGCAGTGCTGACAGCCTCGACTTGCGACAGATAACGCCTGGGCGTTGATGTCAGAATGCGCCTTCAAGTCTCCACGCACTGACACTATGGGGCAGCATTAGCATTTTATCTAGCCAATCATTGCGATGAATCAACGACCAATGCGCTGTCAATACAAGATGTTGAAGTGGAGGGGGTTTGGGAATCCGGGGCGGGTTAGACCGGTCAAAGCTGGGAGGGGAGAAAAGTATGCGTTGGCAAGGGAGTTGAGCTGCAGGGAACCTACCTTGTCGATCGACTTCTGCAGGAGCAGAAAAAGTGAAGATTTGGGATAGTTTTAGAGCCAAAGCTAAGAAACCACTCGCGACTATATGTCATATGTTAGATGCAACTGGATACCCACGAGGGAAGATGTAAATGCTAAAGAACGCGTGCAGATTGGATGAAAAGAAACATGAAACGCGAGGTAAAATCGACAGGGCCAATGAGGGAATAGCAAGGATATGTAAATTGGAGTGAGGAAGTGTGTTTTGGCACGCGTTGTTTTGCCACGAGATAAGCAGCGGCGCGCAACGTGGGAGAGCTTAGCGATTACCTTAATAGGCACGGCAGAAAGGATATAGATAATCTCCGGGGGTTAAGGTGACTTTCCAATCCCAAGCAATCAAGGGATCCCAGGGTAGAAGATGATTTGACCAGAGGGAGAGGGGGGGAGAGAGAATCGTGCCAACGAGAGGGCGGTGATTTTGTGGGAGCCACTGATGTCAAGGCAGTTCCGTATAGAACCGGCAGTACACAGTACAGACACAGTACAGGTATATAAGGGATACAGTTGTTCAAATGGGTAAGAAAAATGGGAATAAAAGGGAATAAGGCAGGAAAAGGGAACATATATTTACCCAGGCAAATGTCAAGATGAAAGGCACAAAGAATAGTAGGAAAATCAAGCAAAGAAGCATACAAAGTGTATTCAAATCCAAAATGTATAACTTACCCCAGTTTGAATATCACCAATAGTAAAGGAATGGCCTTTATGCAAGGCAGGGTTTCACCAATGATGTAAAGTACTCGATTGGAGGATGAACTGGAGCGGGCAACCAACGAGAAGAGGCAGAGGGAAGAAAGGCGAGGAAAAAGGGCGGATGGGGCAGTTTTGTAGGAGATTGACTGGCTGCCGACAGAGAGACCGCCTTACTCCCCGCTGCTGAGGCCGCCTTTTCTGCGATATTACATCAAATTACACGTAAATATCCATTATTACTGGTTCATCGGCTTCTATAGCCGCCCAATTGGCCCCCAATGGTATCCATATGACAGTACAGTATTTAAACAAATCCGGTCGTCCCGAGCTCTCGTCATGTGTGACCCGACACTTTATGACGCGCCCTTTCCTTTAATACTTGAGACCTTCAACTTCCTATTCCATTCTTCGATATCTCTTTAGCTTCATTTTCTTTACTAACAATTTCCTCACATTATCTCCGATATTAGACCCTTGAAAACCCAACAGCATTGAATCATACACTTGCTGCATGTTTGCCCACGCTATCACTCGCCTCATCTTAATAATCGCCTCATTTCTTTTTTGGCCCTATTTCGTCAGCTTGACTTTTTCTCATGATTATCACTTCAGATACCCAAAAGGATATGCTCTATTTTTCTTTGCTTTTTCCTATTTTGTACTTATGGATGGACACCGCGTACTTCGGCCGTGTGCCCTATTTAGGGAAGTCTCCTCCACCTAATGTCCCATCATCCATAATCCTTCAAAGCTCGTGCACGATGTACTCCGGAAAAATAAGAGCCCCACAGAACGGGCTTATTATTGTAGTACGGTCTATTATTCACGGCTCTCAAGTCCTCACGGCAGTGTGATGAGATTTCTATGGCAATGAAATCATCTCCCCGGGCGGCAACATTGTAATCCAGACGGGAGTGACAGCTTGGCACACAAGGCCTCCATCTGACGCGAATTAGCAAGGTCCCAGTATCATATGTTGTAGATGTTTACTGAAAAAACAGGCCTCCCCAGATACTCACTTGGCGCATTGAAGTGTTTGTTCCAGCTCACGACGCAATCCAATTAACCGGTACGGAGTACATGTGCGATATACGGAGACCGCTGTAGTAGTTGACTGTTGCTATTATTGAACATTCAAACTGGCGGTCGAAACAATTTTGCTCACCGTAGATTTATCTCCGGCTGAAAGATCCCCACCTCGCGCTGTTGTCTCGGATATATGTTCCATAAATCGCCTGTCGACCTCAATGACCAGACAATTCAAACGAGAAATTGCTATCTTATACTTCTATACTTTATATACTCCCGGGTTAATCCCCACGAGCATTCTAGTCAAATTTAGTAGTTTCCCATGGGTCATTCAGCACAGGCGGTAATCCCGATTCGCAGAGACGGATGGGTCCGATCTCCGGATGAAACACCCCACGTTTGAGAAGCTTGACCGCTTGACTTCGGACCACTAACTTCGAATTTCTATTTATATAGAGGCTTCATGTGTAAGATGCTTAAGCATTATTGATAAGTCCCCGTTTGGTCAGTGGATTTTGGCTGGTTTTGGCCAATATTCGTGACATTAGTCCCATAGCAACCTGCATTCCCTGAAATATATATATAACAGTCATGTACCACAACAAGGAGAAATATATAATTACCTCGTAACTTAGCAAAAAATACATAGTAGCAAATCAGCTATCCTCCCTTAAATGCATACAATGCACAGGAAATCATAATAAAAGTCCCTTGTTTTGAGAGAATACACTCAAGTGTGGCGTCCTATCATTCTGAGCCTTTAACCTTATCTTAAGTGGTCCGATTATTTAGTATACTATGCGCCAGTTTTGGGTACATACTAGAGAAGCTGATGGCTGCCTATCACAAAGCAAGAACAGGAGCTGTTCGCTTACTGACACACGATAAATATAGAGTACCAACGCGCTTACAATACATACCAGGGATGCCGATCACAAGAAGAATAGCATTATTGAGCCAGTGGCTACATTAAAAGCAAAGATTCATCCGCTCCGAATTTTATCAAAACGCCAAAGCTCGCCTACACGTACTCCATATTTGTTTGTCCTTTTATCCAGCAAAGTATATAAACCTTATGGCCATAATATCACATCGTCACCTTGGTCCCGTTCTCCATCACATAGACCTCCTGGATCACTGGCTTCGTGATCAGCCTGAACACCTCCAAGATACTCTGCATCGTCTCTGTAAAGGAACGTGTAACACTTTTGTCAACAATAATAGATAAAAGATATGTCGGAGATCAGACTGCTCTGAGGATGTTCGTCAGAGAGAGCATTTATTTGCTAGCAGGGTATAAAGACCCTGTTCTTGATAGTGAATAGTAGAGTTTCCCCCCCCCCTTCTTCCCTCTCCCTTTATAGCCCAACAAGATGGCTTGGGAGGGTAGTTAACACGTGGACGAGTTACATGGTATAAATTAAGCCAGTTTTCTGTATTCTGAGGTCCGGAATCATTAGGCCGACGCAGTCTTGGTTGTCTAAATAGCCAGGTATTTTCAGTACGCTTCATGAAACGGAACAGTTCAGATATTTACCTGCGACGGCTATAGGCCACAGCCAATATTATCAACGTGATAGTGAGAAGGATCCCTAGCCCAGTCGAAAGGCCAATTGTTAGACGCAGGTTAACCCATGTTTTGAGATTTGTGAAAGCGTTTGGCAATTTTGGGATGGAAGTAGTGTTCTGAATACTTCGATTTGACTTGGTTTAGGGTGATATATGAGTAGTTTTAGTACGACCGAGAAGAAGGAGAGTATGCGAGATCATGCCGTGAAGAAAAAAGAAGAATCGATGATATCACATTCAAAAAAGCATAGAAAGACAAGGCCGTGTTCGAATAGGAATACAAGGTTGTGCCCCTGAACGTCTAGGTTAGAGCGATTACGGTATAGCCAATATAGCCCTGGAGTCTGGTCAAGCTTACGTAGCTACGTTATTTCCATAGAATATTAAAAGGAGCAAAATTAGAAGACAGAGTATATTGAAGGTGGAAACACAGGCGTTTTAGGCAGGAATATTGGAAACAATTAAATATTAGCTGACTGGATCTAATCGACGTAGCTACGGCGCTAAGTAACCAAGCGAATAATCATTCACCTTCTCATGACCCACGCACTTACTGATACCTTCCATTATGAGCCAAACATCCTTTATGTGTGGTGATAGTTTCACTTTGTGGGTGTGTTGTTCATGACATAAATGTCCGGAACAACCTGTTTCTTTTTGAAACCAAGGGCTTAGAAAATATCGCAGACCTTCTCAGTGAGGGTTTCTGATAAAAAGTTCGTTAGTCAGAATATGACCATAACCAACTTGAATCCGTGAAAATCTTACTGCGTCGTGTCGCATTGTATATTTTAATACAGTTCTGAGCTTCCTCGTTACTCATGTGTTGCGGTATGTATGGATACCTAGTAGAATATAGCATGTTAGCCGTCTCTATCAGGTGAGAATCCGTATGAATCATACCTGCGATGAATCCACATGGCACACAAGAGAACCACAGCTATAGTTAGAGGTATGCCGAGGCCAAGAGAAAGCCCCTTGTACTTTGCGTTGATAGTATTGATCTCGGCCGCAAGGATGTCATGAAACTTGGAAGGTAGAGCTCTAACGTCTGCTTCCCAGTGACTGTTATCTGCAATATTGTGATCGATCTTCCTAGAAAGAGTGGTAATATCGGCGAGCAAGCGACCGTTCTCTGCGTTAACATCATCGATCTTTTTAGAAAGAGATTGGACATCTGCGCCCGATCCCGTGTTTTGTGTTTTGTTGTCTTGGTTTGTTCTCATATGGATTTCGTTCTCCAATCTACCGCACCATGCCCAAAGCTGATCCAGTATGTCGGCATGGCTATACAGTGTTTTGTCAACGTCAATACTAGAGAATACACCACCCATTTTGTAGTGAAATGATCGATGCGGGAATGAAAGGTTGGTGCGGAATGCTAGATACTACAGGACAAGATGAATCTAGGAGGACGGGCAAGCATCTCAGTGACATCCGTCTAAGTGAAGTCCAACCTTAACATGTCATAGGCGAAAACTTAGAAGGCCGCATCCAAACATGGGCCAGACCTTTCATAACTTTATTCACCCATGTCGATGTAAACATGAGCTAAAGAAGTATGAGGTATGAGGCAGTATATATGGACCGATGTATAACCAAACCACAACCACAACCGCAACTCAGCGCATAGCTACAACACAGTTACCCAATAAGTAGCGATATATGCCCTCATACGGAGTAGTCATGGAGACAAAAAACCCAAGGCTTCCCCTTACAGTTGGGTGGCGGTGGAGCGCTTACTCAGCACCATCCCCCGGACCAAAGTGGCTTTTCCGCATTGTTGACTCGACCAAAATCGCATTTGCTTTGCTTTGTGCCTCGAGAAAACCGACACTGTGGCTGGTTTTCCTTGGTGGCAAACATCGAACGCTGCAAGATCTAAGCTCCCCGCACATCGGCAAACCTCCCCACAAAAAAAACATCGCAGACGCGCAACATCAATATTGGACCGATACATGACGTCTTTGTTGACACCCGTTTCGAATATTGCTACGAACCACTCCCAAACGATCACAAGCCATTTAGCTACACCTCAATCCGCGCTCATTCCCCTGCGACAGACCCCCAAGCCGCGCTCCTCGCGGAGTTCGCGCATCGGTGTACCCCTGTCACCACTTGCATACCACATCCGGACTCCGGTTTTCATACACGTCCATTGTTGACGAGAGTATCCTGTGCATGGGTTAGAGAGCAAAGATGGCTCCAGGCGGCGGTGGAAATATCAAGGTGGTGGTGCGGGTGCGGCCATTCAATAGTCGAGGTGAGCTGATATCGAAGGGAGGGGTTCTCCCTTGGACTTTAAGCTAATCAGTCTGTTTTTGTACAGAGATTGAGCGAGGCGCAAAATGTATCGTGTCTATGAAAGGCAACCAGACCGTGCTCACTCCACCACCCGGCGCAGAGGAAAAATCACGGAAGGGTGGGAAGGGTGCTGTTGAAGGGAACAAGGTGTTCGCCTTTGACCGATCATATTGGTCCTTCGATAAGAAATCATCAAACTTCGCCGACCAAAATGACCTCTTCGACGATTTGGGTTCTCCGCTTCTGGACAATGCCTTTGGGGGTTACAACAACTGTATCTTCGCTTATGGCCAGACCGGTTCGGGAAAATCATACTCCATGATGGGTTATGGTAAAGAATACGGTGTGATTCCGCGGATTTGCCAGTCGATGTTCGAGCGCATAACTGCGATCCAAACGGACAAGTTACTAAATTGCACCGTTGAGGTGTCATACCTCGAAATCTACAACGAGCGGGTACGCGACTTGCTCAACCCGTCAAACAAAGGCAACCTGAAAGTCCGTGAGCATCCGTCAACGGGTCCTTATGTCGAGGATCTGGCGAAACTTGTCGTCGGATCTTTCGAAGAAATCGAGAGCCTGATGGACGAGGGTAACAAAGCCCGAACGGTTGCCGCGACTAACATGAACGAAACTTCTAGTCGATCACATGCCGTTTTCACCTTGACTTTAACACAAAAGAGACACGATGCAGAGACTTCGATGGATACCGAGAAGGTGTCAAAAATCAGCTTGGTTGATTTGGCTGGTTCAGAAAGAGCCAACTCGACTGGAGCCACCGGCGCGCGATTGAAAGAGGGCGCGGAGATCAATCGCTCATTGTCAACGCTTGGTCGTGTCATTGCTGCGCTTGCCGATGTCTCTGCTGGCAAGACCTCGGCCGGCAAGAAGAAGAATGCATCAATGGTACCATATCGTGATTCAATTCTGACATGGTTGCTGAAGGATTCTCTGGGTGGAAATTCTATGACCTCTATGATTGCAGCAATTTCGCCTGCAGATATTAACTTTGACGAAACCCTTGGTACTCTGCGGTACGCCGACTCAGCGAAACGAATCAAGAACCATGCTGTCGTGAACGAAGATCCAAATGCACGGATGATTCGCGAACTTAAGGAGGAACTAGCACAGCTCCGATCAAAACTTGGAGGCGGAGTCGGACCGGGAGGAGCACCTGGTGCCATTGGTGGTGTTCCCCAGGAATACTACCCCCCGGATACACCGCTGGAGAAACAGATGGTCTCCATCCAACAGCCAGATGGAAGTGTCACCCAGGTCAGCAAAGCGGAGATTGTAGAGCAGCTCAATCAGAGTGAGAAGCTTTACAAAGACCTTAACCAGACTTGGGAAGAGAAGCTGCAGAATACAGAGCTTATCCACAAGGAGCGTGAAGCAGCTTTGGAGGAATTGGGAATCAACATCGAAAAAGGCTTCATTGGGATGAGCACACCAAAGAAAATGCCCCATTTGGTTAACCTCAGCGACGATCCCCTTCTTGCGGAATGTTTGGTCTACAACATCAAACCTGGCACCACAACGGTTGGTCATATGGATCAAAACCAAACCGTTGAGATCCGATTAAATGGGTCTAAGATCCTCGAGAAGCACTGCACTTTTGAGAATGCGGATAATGTTGTGACCATTGTACCGGCCGAAGGTGCTGCCATCATGGTGAATGGTATGCGAGTCGACAAGCCCACACGACTCAAGAGTGGTTTCCGAATCATCCTTGGTGATTTTCATATTTTCCGTTTCAACCATCCCCAAGAGGCCAGAGCCGAACGGGTTGAGCAGAGCTTACTCCGGCATTCAGTCACTACAAGCCAGCTTGGGTCGCCAGCACCAAATAAAACCCATGACCGGAATCTGAGTAAGGCAGGGTCTGATATTGATGGCGATTCAACTAGGGCAGATTCACCCATGCCTTCACAGCGTAGTCGTGAGTCAGACTGGTTCTTAGCACGCAGAGAAGCTGTCAGTGCTATGGTTGGACCTGACCAGATCTCCACTTTGCCTGATGATGAACTGGACACACTGTTGGAGGATGTGCAGAAAGTTAGAGCTGGACGGCGTGGACTTCCAGAAGAGGAAGATTCCGACTCCATTAGCTCCTTCCCGATTCGGGACAAGTACATGTCCAACGGGACCCTCGACAACTTTTCTTTAGACACAGCTATAACCATGCCAAGCACGCCGCGACAGAATGGCGATGATGAAGTTAATGGCGTCGCATCACTCAACCAGGCTCGTCAAGATATGCAGCGGCAGCTGGATCGCCGCAAGGAAGAGTTCCAAGAAAAACTCAAGACCGTGCAGGCTTCTGATCCGAATTCACCAGAGCTACGCACCGAGAAAGAGCGAATGGAGTACGCACTGCGGACAGCCAAGGAGGAATTCGAGGAGCAACTGCGCAAACAAAAGGAGACATTTGAAACCCATATCCGAGATATGGGCCAGCCGATTCCTCAAATCTTCGAAAATGGCTTCCCCAAATTGGACGAACGTGAACTTGAGGTCGCGCGCTCAGTGTACAGGCATTGGTCGCAGCGAAATTATGTTCGAATGGCCGAGAAGATTTTACAACATGCCTCCCTTCTGAAAGAGGCACAGATCATGAGCCATATCATGGACAAGCATGTGGTCTTCCAGTTTGCCATTGTAGACCATGGTCACAACATGGAATCGTCTTATGATCTCGTATTGAACGGGATTTCCGGCGATGAAGACATCCTGCTTGATGAAGCCAAGAAACCTTGTGTCGGTGTTCGAGTCATCGACTTCAAGCAGTCCGTGATTCACTTGTGGTCAATTGAAAAGCTTCAGCGTCGCGTCCAAGCTATGCGGCAATTGCACCAATACATCGACCGCCCCGACTACATCCAACACTTCAAACTCGATAATCCATTCTCTGAACCTTGCTCGCCCCAGTATTCTCTTATCGGCGATGCCGATATCCCCTTAACGGCTGTTTTTGAAACCCGTGTGCAAGACTTTTCCGTTGAGATAACCTCGCCATATACCCAGAGTGTGATCGGAATTGTTCGCCTTTCCCTCGAACCATCCTCTGCGCAGGCGCCCTCTTCAACCCTGAAATTTAATGTTGTCATGCGGGACATGATCGGGTTCGCGGAGTGGGAAGGTTCTGATGTACATGCGCAGTTATTTGTTCCAGGTATCTCAGAGGAAGGAGGCGCAACTACAACTCAAATGATCAAAGGATTTGAGGATGGACCGGTTCGATTTGAAAGTGTGCACAGCATGAGCTTGCCGCTGTCAAGCCCACGGACAGCTGCATTGAAGGTCTGTGTTTATGCTGGTGTGACATCTGTTCATCTCGACAAGCTGCTTAGTTGGGATGATATGCGTGACTCAGCGGACCTACCGCAGAAGCGAACTGCTCCTCGAATTGCGGAATCTGAATTTTACTCCGAAGAACGTCATGATGTGTTTGCGAGAATCCAAATACTCGAAATGGCAGAATCTGGTGAATACCTCCCCGTAGAGGTTGTTCAGAGCAGCAGTCTCGATGCCGGGACATCTCAGCTTCATCAAGGATTGCAGCGCCGTATCTCGGTCAACATCACGTACAGCTCAACGGAAAGTCTTCCTTGGGATGATATCAACAACATCCGCGTTGGTTCTGTCCGCCTCCTAGATCCCTGGGGCAAGATCCCAGATCAGGATTTCCAGACTCCGGACGTCCCCTTGAAGTTTGTCCAAGAACCAACGGTCAGGGATAATGCCGACGGTACCTCCCATGTCACCATTGTCGGCCAGTGGGACTCGAGTTTACATGGATCTCTGTTGCTTGACCGAGTGACGGCAGAAAAATACCGGGTCCAAGTGACTGTCCGTTGGGATCTGGTATCCAGTCGTTTACAGAACCCAGTTGTTTTCGAGGCAGACCAGACAATTCAGATTCAAGGCCGTACCTATGTCCGCCAGCAGTCGATGTTCAAGCAATTCTGGAACTCGATTCGTGTTGTGCACTCGACGACTCGCATGTATTCGTTGGTTATTCGGCCCATTT